GAGAGAGAGATACCAATCTGGGTCAAAGCTAGACTTGAACAAAAAAAGCTGGTGCGCCGCAGTCAGTCACATGAAGAACATCGTCAACTGGCCCGAAACGACACCCTCTGACCAATCTTCCTGCCCCGTGCTTTCTGCTGCATGTGAATGAACGTGGCCAACAACAGGATGCTCTGTGAGACGTTTGGCCAGTGCGGGGTGTGGAACTGTCGCATCAGCGACTTCATGTGCCCCAGGTCAGAGATCGCATCACACGTTGTTGATCAAGCCACACATTCGTGCTTTCCATTCTCTGAACCACGGCAACAAAAAGAGGTTTCTCGGGCACTACAAGCTTATCCCTTTGAATTTTCGCGGCTGTAGAAATTCTCCTCAACACCGACCTCCAAATAATCACACAAGTTACATGCATACGTACATGTACAGTAGTTCGCCGTTCAACTCTTCTCAAGAAAGACCATCCAGTTGGTTGCGACCCGTGGTGTTTAGTCGGAGTGTTCCCTTCTCTTGATACCGTCCAACAAACATCGGGGACACATTGTAGCCAACGTGCAAGTGTTGGCTACCGCTGCTCGTTTGGGTGGTAATGGGAGTGGTACGATGCCTCTGCGTTTTGGTGCGTTGCCATGTGATGAGATTCATTCGTCGCATTCCCTCGTGCTGTGCCTCAGGTACGAATACAACAAGCAGACGGTGCCCCACCGTGGGAAAGGGGACTGCAGCGGGGCGACGAAAGCGGGGGGGAGGGGGTCCCGGAAGTATGCCACCACCGTCATACCCCCTTTGTCGGTAGCAGTGTTCGTTGCCGCCGCGGCCTCTAGACTTGGGTTGTAACCCGTGGTGACCGTCACCTTCGTATCTATCTCACCGCTGTTAAGTACCATGGCACATTTTTGTCGGGGGATCACAGCGTAGCAAAGATTTCGGTTGTCGAGCGTGTCCAGAGGGACGTGGTATTCCCGCAGGGGGGGTGCATTCTGCGGGGACCCCATGCGTCGGGGCTCTTCAGCCGAGAAACAGAAAAAGGGAAAATACCGACGGATAGATATGGCTACCTCCCATGTGGCCATACTGAAGGCTTTGACCCAAAGAAAGATTGAGAGCAGAGAAAGATCGTATGGGGGGGGGGGTTAGTCGTTCAACCTGTACCGAGTGCGCGAAAAGCGCGTACGGATCAAGTTGAAGTTTGTGCCACCGCGGGGGACTGGTGGCCACACGTTGCTCGGAGATAGACAACGGGGGACGTCCTTTATGGGACGTTTGATATCTCAGAAGCGAAGAACATTGCGTTGGTACACGACGGGGACAAGGCCGCTGACTTTCTGTGAATGAATGCCCCCACAGATTGATGGGAAAATGAGTGAACGGATCTTGATGAGCACATACTTCTGCTCATACGCGAGCGAAGATGGCGGAGAACACAGCAACCGAAAAAGTGTCACCGCAAGAACGGCCGTCGAGCATGTGTTCCTAGGTACACCTCTCCCCCGCTGCCAGAGGAGGCTCAAATTATCCGCGTGTTGGAGTCATCGGCACAAATGCTGTGAGCGCTGATTGGAAGTAAAGAGAACAAAACAAAAAAAACGACGGCCGAGGTGCCGTGACTCTTGAAATTCAGGACCGCCTTTTGGTAATACAATGGGGTGTGTAGACGACCTCTATAAAGGTACAATCCCCCCAACGCCTGTTGAGGATGATTCCCTCTTTTCACAATGGTGTCGACGAAGAGATGTCAGGGTGTCTGGTCTCCACATGGGGGGGGGCTGTTTCTTCGGTGCCGGCCATATGCCCAGAGAATTGACCGGGACCACACCGGACGCCGCCCCTACTAACACAGAGCTTTCGAGATATGGTGGGACTGACAGCACACACTTTGGACAAGCACAAAGCAAAACATAGTACTCTCTCTCGGCTTCCTTTGCTGCGTTACACACAGCAGCAGCAGCAGCAGCAGCAGCAGCAGCAACAACAACAACCATACGAACGACGAGAACAACACCAGAGGAGCTCGGAAACAAACTCAATCATCGCGTGTGAAACGTTCCCTTTCTTGAGCGGCTCGGAGCGGAGCGGCGGGGGGGGTCAAGTTCCGGAAACGCATCAACTTAAACAACAGCCACATGCGATGACAATAAACAAGCAACCACCACACGATACGCCAGCCACACGACGAGAGCTCATACAAAACAAGGGGAGAGATGCCAATGGACACCCCCCCCATCCGCCCCTGGTCCGACCGGTCCTCCTGGAAAAGCAAGAACGACAAACGCCGAACGAGACTCACATATGTATGCACTCCGTCGGCATAGGCCTTCCTCCGCTGGCGTGTTCTTCCGCCAACACCACGAAAAAAAAAAAAACGGGACATGACATACTTTACCATACCTCGGGACGTGACCATGGGACAGACCGTTCCTTCCCAACGAGTTATCATGTTAATAGTTGATGCCACTCACAACCTCTGCAAGAGCCAGGAATTGTCTACCCTACCCCTTCTATGACGTAGATACCCCACGCCGTTAACCCACGGCACATACGGGATCGTAATGCCCCCCCGCCGCCCCCCGTTGTTACATGCCAACACTGTACCAACTCCTTGAACGCCAAACCCAGCACCGAAAGCTGCCTCCGCTGCTGCTGCTGCTGCTGCTGCTGCTGCCACGAAATTTGCTCTTCTGGCCAGGCAAAGCATCCAGCCAATCTTTCGAGGGAGAAGGGGGGACACGCTACTCAGAGAAGGAGACTCAACCACACACACAGCTTTTCTCAACTTACAAGGACAGACGATATCATACACGAAAAAAAAAAAAAAATGGGACAACCGAAACATGAAAACCGGCCCTCTGTGTTTCTCAAGGCGAAGTGTACACGTGTGTCTAGGTGAAAGCAAGTGAAAGGACTAGAGCCGTGACATCATCGGGTGATTTCAGCCAAAAGAAAAACAACAAATCAAAACAGGTGGCCACTTCTTGTGGCCCGTCTCTCTCTCTCTCTCCCTCTTCATGCGCAGGCCGATCGACAACAATAAGCAGCACACGCAGCGAATATCGTAGCCGGATAGGAAAAGGCCACGGGGTCACGGGCCGCGTAAAAAAATAACACCACTCCAGGACTACAGCTAGAGGATGGGATGACGGAAGTCGCCAACGACACACGAAGTGAAACGACACAAACGAAAAATGCAAGATTTAAGAAAGGGGAGAAAAAAGGAAAAAAAACGCGCGCCACAGGCGAAAACGCTAGAAGAATACAGTAGCACTCATGAAAATATTGAACAGGAACCGCGCGGTCACGACGTCCGCAACAAGGGCCCACCCACGGTACCGTCTCGCGGCATCAATAACATAAGTCGATAGCCAAGACGCCAGCAACGGCAGCGCAGCTTACAAGGAGCCGCCCCCGCCGCCGCCGCCGCCGCCGCCGTAGTCGCGGAAGGGTGTTCGCATCCCCCCCTTCAGAGGAATCCAATATCCGGGGGGGGCAACCAAGGAATCAGCGGTGCCCCCAAGCATGGGGGTGATAATAAATCCGCGTAACTAGATAGCAGAGACAAAAAACGCAGCACCGGACCTCACCTCTCCAAACAACTCCTGGACACCCGGAGCACCCAAGCCGCAAATCCATCCTGTGTCCGCCCTCCACGCCGCTATTCAAACAACGCTCTCCCGCCTATCCCCGTGGCTACCAAATAACCTCCCTCTGACTCCTCCATCAATCTCCGCCAAGGAATCTCGACCGTTTGCACTGCCGGGGTCGTGCCGCTTACCCCTCTCTCTGCCATGTGGTCGTTTCTCCCTCCGGGCAACAGCGCGGGGCTCGCTTTCGCGCAAAGGTCAAACGAATCTCGCCAAATTTTCGTCTGTCCCAAGGCCACATCGCCAGCAAAAAACACGGGGTTCGCGAAGCACACATACGGCCTTGTCGCGTACGGTGGCTCGTACAGGGGTCGCTGCGATGTCGGCGTAAGGGGGCAACCTAAAAGCTCTCCCCTCTAGCTGGCTCTTTCTCCCTAATGTCTGGCTAGTTTTCCCTCTCCAATCAAACTCCCCTCATAACCACGCCGTAAAACTTAACCTTTTGACGTGCAATGGACACATCAACGCTAACGTTAACACTGTCTTTCCGCTTGTCCAATCCGCGTGCTCCGGCCTCCCTCGCAAGCCATTGCAGCTCAACATCCTCTTTCGATACAGCCATCATCGCCAAGGCGGTTACTATTCTGACGAAATAGAAGGTGTCTCATATTGACGAAACAACACGCGTTAAATTTTGACGAAATCAGAAATGTAACATTTTGACGAAGCAGAAGGGGGTCGGCACCGCGGAGAAGCGGGGGGGGGGGGACTCAGCCAAAGATGTTCCGGGAACCGCCAACAAGTCTTTGCTGCCAACGACAGCAAAGGCGACAGTCTACCGGCGTCAACATACACTACAACCGACCTCAGTTATCCTGAACCGAACCAGTCTTAGAGGAACACAGGCATCGGGCAGCAGTCTTGCGATCGACTGAAAAAAAAAACGCTTCGTATTTGATCCGTGGATGTTGATTTCATGAACCGAAAACAACGAGATGCTGCACCAAGCGTTGAAACCGTCATTCTAGTCCCCCCCCCACCCCCCCCGCCGCCCCCGCACGCTGACGAAAGCTCGGCGAAAGAAGAAAAGCTCTGCGAGTACAGCAACTCGCCCCCTACGCATTGCCTTGAAGGAAGCAACCAGCTAGCATTGTCGCGAGAAGGCGTTCTTTCGGAGACGGCACCGGCCAGAACAAGCAGCGATGACCGCCGTCGCTTACTGCAGCCGTGAGTCATCCCTCCGATGGCGCTGACCACACGGGGGGGGGGACCCCTTACGGTTCCTAGCTTCGCTGCCCCCGCCAGCTCCCCTGTCCAGCGTTAGAGAGAGCATCGACCCTTTGGATGTTGGCCAAACCGTACACGCGTGCCATCCGTTCCGTTCCGGTTGTCTCCTCAGCACGATTACGCGGTGAAAAACAACACCAGAACACTACAACAAGTACTGCCATCGGACCGCGTTCGCGACCATTTCATCATCTACCCACAACATGGAGAGGGGAGGTTTGTAAACCTACAGAGGGGGGCCCTGTTGAGTGCCGGTATATGCCCAGACAATTCACCGGCTGTTTCCCGTTCCCGCACTATTCAAAGTGCTGACAATGACTTGGAAATAAAGTGTGCGCCCGCTTAAAACACCGGCACTATTCAACCGGCACGAAACAGGAACTCCCCAAGCTTCGAACTCCCCACCGAAACCAAGCAAAGTTTCGTACGAAGGCTTGAATAATACCTTCTCTCGGCTGGAGACTTACAGAATCTCCGAAGAGTGTGTTCAGTTAGTGGTATGGGCAAGGGTGGTGTGCGTCTCAAGGTGGAGCTTGGACCTGTGGAGATACTCTCCTTCATGCAATCAAGAACTGAAAAAAAAAAAAATCAACATACAAGTACGTGCAGCAGCAGGCAAACGAACGCGTGCGCTCTCGTGTCTCGTGTTTGATGCTCCATTCAGTCTACATGGACATCACACCAGCAGCGACACAACCACAACACCAAACGCACCTCAAGCTATCCCTCTCCAACACTGCCGCCCCCGGGTGGCGGCGGCGGTGGCGGCCTGCTGCTGCTGCTGCTGCTGCTGCTGCTGCTGCTGCCGCCGCCGCCGCCACCGGCATCTGACACTCCACGCTCCTGCTCCTGCCACGACTCGCGCTCCTTGTGACCTCCCGGCGCCCTCGTTGCCGCGGTCGTCGATGGCTCGCCCACCTTGCGAGCAAAAAAGAAAAAAAAAAAAGCGACGGTTTCGGTTACGACGGCGCGGTAAAAGACAACGAGGGCCCGGGCGACGAGAGGGGACCGCCTTCACGAGGAATGTAGATATCAAATCTATGAAAGAGAGAGAGGGGGGGGGGGGGGGGT